TTAAAGAACACGAGGAATTGGACAGAAATTTGAAAGGAATTATGGAAATTCAAGAAAGTAGTTCTTGCATTTTTGACCGACTGGATAGAACAATGTGAAATTGGAAGGACTGTAAAGATAATTCAAACAATAACAATAAGTTTTCCCTTTTTTTTTCACAATTTTTGATTTTTTTACTTTTGAACAGTACCGTGAACTGTACCCATGAACAATAAGTTTTTTTTTTGACACACTAAATAGAAAATTCAACTACGACACTAACAGAACAAACGGAAGTGGATTTGGACGTCAAATTTGTCCAAAACAAGATTTGAATTTTTTTTTTAATTTTTATGAATCTAAGACACAACAGACGAAGAAAATAAGAAGAACAAAAGGGAATCGTAGAAAAAAAATTAAAAAGACTCAACAAGAAAAGAAAATGATATGACCTTCGATTTTGGTGGCTAAGCTCTGATACCAACGAACCCACCAGTAGATTGACATTGATTCTAAGAAAGCCAAGAATCGTCGATTTTGGATTTAATTCACAAACAATGAATTAAGCAACCATTAATATGTAAAATTAACGACCTCGTAATTACACAATTTATAAATATAACCCGGATTAGTTTTGAATGCCACAAGATTAACAAATCTTGATAAGTTCGATTTGTTCTTTAAGAATAAGAAATTGGAAGCAAAACAACCTCTTGTATTAATCTCTTAAATGTCAAAAGTCTCAATACAATGAAAATAAATTCCTATTTATATGAAAAACCTAGAAAAACTAATTAAGGACCGAAATTACTCCTTGTGCAGAACTTTTGTGACGATTCCAGATTGTACACATGGGGTGAAAATCCGACACCGAGCTAAAAGTTATACCCATTTTAATCCACATTGATCGTTTTTTCTTATATCGTCCGAACATGATTTTACCTTTACGACTAACATGTAAATTGACCTTAAGCTTGTAAACATCATCCTTTATAGCCCAGTAACCTTGATGCTTGATTGCATGATTTCATCAGCTGTGATCAAACCCGACTTTGCACTTAGTCTCTTCTCGCCAATCATGGAACTTGTTACATTGCACGTTACTTCCCACATTTTGAATTCCAAAGCTTGATCATGAGATTTGCCATCTTTATCAACCCTTTTTAGCCTCCAAATGAGCTTGAATCTTGGTATTAACTGACCTCCAACAATCGTCAAATAATTGAGAATTTGGCACCTAGCCCGAATCATATCACCCTACCTTTTCAATGTTTTCGTGCAAAACGTCCATACATTTCATTTTTTGGCAATTTTACCCCGCTTTTACCTTTCATTACGGAAAAGGTACTTTCATCCAACCCACTGTCAAATGCTCAGTTAATTCAACAAAAAGGCTAATTAGCACAAAACGCTTCCATTTTTCAATTTATTATTATTATTATTATTATTTTGAAAAAGTCCCTACTTTTCGTTTTACAAAGGTATTGATGTTTTAAATGACTAATTTTTCAAGGTTGGGATTTTTTTGCAAAGTATGTTAAAAGATAGGGTTGTTACATGTAAAATGTATTAATAGGTAAGAATGGTTAACACAAGTTCAATTTCACGTTAAAAGGAAAAGAACATGTCCAATTCATCTTCTCCGTTCGTATGTGATTGGTCTTCATCGTTGAAATCTGATGGATTGTTTACAAGATCACATTTACCATTGGTCTTCTTATTTTACCCTTATTTACAACATCAGATTTGCCATAGTTCTTCTCAAGGTGAAATACAATGTTCTTTATGTCATTTATTTATTTAATGGAATAACTGTATATATTTTTTCATATTACTTTTAATTGAACAATTGACTTTGAAGGTGGGAAGAAGGCTAGCGGAAAATTTGGGTAAAATTATATTATCCTTGTTTTTTGAAAAGAAAAGTTGCATTTTTTGTTGAGTTAACGGAGTATTTGACGGTAGATGGATGGAAGGACCTTTTTCACAATGAAAGGTAAAAATGAGGGTGAAATTGTCAAAAAATAAAAAATATGGACTTTTTGCACAAAAACATTGAAAGGTGGGGGATGTTTTGTGCTAATTAGCCTTTGTAGAGTTAACAGAACATTGACGGTGGGTGGATTGAAGGACGTTTTCTGCAATGAAAGGTGAAAGTGAGGGTGAAATTGCTAAAAAATGAAAAGTATGGACTTTTGCACAAAAAAATTGAAAGGTGGGGACGTTTTATGCTAATTAGCCATTTTGGATACTTTATACTCTCTATAATAGTTTAAGTAACAAAAATCTAAACGACATGAGTAGATGTTTAAAAGACGAGAAATCATACTAAACAATTTACAAATAGCAGGTTTATTTACAACTAAAATAAACTATTCCAACTTGAAAAAAAAAAAAAATTTATAACTTGAACTAATATTTACAAAGTGCAGTCAAAGTTGAGCAACTGTTATTGTGAGTAGGTCAAGGGGCTAAGTATAGTCGCGATCATTAACACATGGGATTGGTCAGAAAAATGACGAAGGGCCTTTGGTGATTTTTGAAGGCTAGTCTGGATTTCACCCAGACTTTCGAGTTACAAACGGAATTTATGCTCTTGGTGGATTAATCATGCAAGACGGCCATGTAATTGCTTTTGAGAACAACAATTGGTTGCCTCTGGATATTTTTCCCAACAAAACAATTAATGGTGGATGATTTAGAACGTGATAAGATGAAAGATTAGATGAAGACTAGAGAATTTTCACAAACCACTTGTTGCACTGCAAATGTATTCTGATGTTGAATTAGATTCTAGTTTGACAGTTGTAAGTAGTTTTTTCAGAGAGTGTAGAAACCTTTTTTTTTTCTTCTTTTTGTGTGAAGAATCTTAAGTTTTTACTATAAATTATTGGCATTTAGGTGTTGGCTTGTAGTTATTACTTTGGATGTAGTTGTCACAGTTGGATTTATCGGTTGTGTTTTACCTAGGTGTGTTTATGTTGCCTTGCTTGAGAAAATGATTGTATACCTGTTTGACATATTACTCTATTCATGGGGGTGCAATTCTATGGAATTTAATAAAACCATGCTCAAGGCTGTAACCAGTCGATCCTAGTATATATTAAGAAAACAAATGGGTCTTGTATCTTGAAAAGATCTCATCATGAAAATCGAGTAAAAAGTTTGATTAATCTCTGAACTTAATACAATGTCACGTTGTGGTCACTGAACTTCATTTTGCTACTCAACGATCACTAAACTTACATATGTACCCCTCCATCCATCACCCACGATCTTAGCCGTTTGAAACGATCTGATATGTCTTGACAGCAATCGACGTGGTAGTTTACGGCGTGAAAGTCGACCATGTTGGACGTGATTATATTCTGAAAAAAAGAAAAAGAAAATTCACAATGAAATCGAAATACCTAACACCATTTCTCCCCAATTCGATCAAGAAGCCCTAGATCGATTTCCTTTAAAACCCTCCCCCAAATATATTCCTCCACACTTAGCGATTGGCAGATCTTCATCACCTTCACAGTATACCAATAGAAGGTGTGAGCCCTACTCCCCGAAATCATAATTCTAACATTGTCTCCACACCCTACCCAACGTGTGAAAGGGATTTTGAAGAAGCCCACTTGGAGGGACCACAAAGAGGTACAATTGCTATTTCTGGTCTATTGTTTTTCCCTTTCCCCGCACGTGGTATGGTTTTTCACCTTGGTTAGTAAAATTGGGCAAAGATTGGCATATGCGTAAAAATTGATAGCTCTCATGCAAAGAAAAAGAAATTGAAATTTATGTTCATTTGTTGATTTTCATAGTTGAGAAAATCAGAATCTGTGTATGGCGTTGTAGTTTAATGGAAAGTTGTTTCATTTTTGTTCACAGATTCTGTATTTTGAAAGTTAAAACAATTGTGTTGAAACTGAAATTCCTTTGGTTCATTTATTGATTTTCATTGTTAAGAAACATAGAATCTGTAGCCATATTTGATGGATGTAATGTTTGAAGATGATACATATCTAAAATTTAGAGAACTACTGTTGATCTTTTTCAATTGCTTGTTTGTGTGATAGATATGGAGGATGACACAGACTTCAATGATTTGGAGAACGCCATATCGTCTGGAGATAATGATATGCTGTTTGAGAAAAATGTGCGATTGAATTGAGTTAGGTTGCGATGGGGTGGTGATCGGGTGGGAAGAAGGGGATAATGCCATAGTAGCACATGACGAATACCAGGAGGTCCATGATTTGGAATATTCATCATCTGAAGAATTGTTGTTTGATATTTCATCTGATGATGAGGTTGAGTTTCGATTGCCCGAGTTTATCTGTAAACACACGAGTCTATACTAAGCAAATCCAGCTTCAAGAATGTGCTAGTGACTCCACAGATGCCTATGTGAATGAGCCTTCAAGAGTTGGAGCAAGAAGAGCAACTTCTACGTGGCGTGCTGGAACATATAGAAGTAGAAGGTCGTAGCTGGGTTATGTGTAGTAGTTGATGTGAATATATGCTCGTCGATATTGGTATTGATACCAGGAGACATGTAATTAAAAAATAGTTTTAGTGTTAGCATTAGCTGCTAGTATTGAAGGCAGCATGAACAGGTTATTGCTGTTGATTTTTTGTTGTTTTGTCAAGTTAGCTTTATATCTTGTTGATGGTGTTTGAATTCTATTTGATGTGTAGGTTACAATGTAAAAAATGAATATGGTATTGATGCTGATTTTTGTGAAATGAATTAATTTTTTGGGGATACTACTTTTGAAATGTGTAGCCAAAAATTATCATCACATATTTAACCTACTTTCCTGTCATTGCCTGTAATAAGCGAACTTCATAAGCTGCCCTTACCCCCAGCTCATTTAGCTTCTAAAAGGCTCAACTGCATTACAACCGGCAACAATCCCTACAACATGGACTGTGATGACAGGAAAGTTTAGCTTCAGCTGCTGGGATTGAAGGCAACATGAACATCACAATGGAGGCAAATGGAGATTGTTTAAATCATTAGAAGAAGGTCATTAGAAAAGTTTTGATACACAACTAGTTCAAATCAAACATAGGCAAACGGAGATTGTTCTTTAGAAATCACAACTTCACGAAATCAAATATCAAGTACAGCATAGTTTCCACTTAAACGAAAACAATAAACATGAAATTGGAAGCATGAATAGTCTAGTTATTAAAAAAATATGAAATTAAAAGTTAGTTCTTCTCGTCTCGTCGCCTTCATATATGGAATATGTTCACGACTCTCTTGGCCTTCGTTTCCTTCTGACTTCCGTGTCTCCTTTACCCTTGTGGAAGCTTAGTTTAATGGTGACATCTTGTTGTTCGATAATTTCAGCGGCAATCTTTAACAAACTGGACAAATCTTCAATTGAAAAGCCCTTTCGTTCTTCTTTGACATCCATTTTATGATTGCTCCGGCACAATTTGGACATTGCTGTTTTTTTAGGCATACCCATAATTGGTGGCTTGGTTCTCTGTAACAGTGGCAAATCCCCTTGTTTTTTCCTACGAAAAATAAAATGCAATGCATCAATTAATTACTTATGACGTGGTAAAAACTAAACCGGAGCTATCTACAGAGTTGCCCTATGATGTAAAAACACAAAGGACTAACGAAATGGAAAACAGGAGCCATGGACAAAGAAATAAGCTTTTTTGGGCATACCCACATCGAAGAACTGCACTAGTGAACTCCAAAAATCAAAGAACAAAGCTTAAGAGATAAAAACAAATGAAATGGAAAACCAGAGGCATGGATAATAACGTTGTTCGCATTTCATTATGTTATTTGATTCCATTAACAACTCAACTCGATCACAAAACTAGTTCGCACTACAAATTCAATGATATTAAATTATGAAAAGGGAAAATTTTTCTCAATTACCTTTGGGTGTTCTCTCCGAGCCAATCAACAATTGCCCTTGACTCGTATTCAATTTTGGAATAATTATGATTTTGGGGAGTAGGGTTCACGCTTTTGACGGAGATGTTTGAGGAATTTCACTTCGATGCCAAGATAAATCGAGCGTTTATGATAAATTAGGGTTCCCAAATCGCAATTTCCGTGATGAAATAAGGTAAGGGGTGCTTGGTTCATTTGACCTAACAATTCCTTCTCCAGTTTGGATTATTTAATGGCCACATATGACTGTCGTCTTCCACGTAGGCGGACTGTGAAGACAAAAGTTAGTGGGTTAGTGATGGAGTGCAATTTTGTAAAGTTCAGTGAATGATGGGATGCAAATTAAAGTATAGTAAGTGAAACATACATAATGCAAAGTTCAATTACTGTTGAATCATTTTACTCCAAGAAAATCAAGTAACGCATCGTAACTTGAAAAATGCGACGTTTATTTTAATTCATAATACTTATCCATATAAACCTTTGATAGGGTCGTTTGTGGCCAAGTTTGAAATGCTGAAGAAGACAATTTCGATTTAAAAAGTTCAATCATTGGACTGACTATATGGCCAGTTTAATAATAAGACATTGACATCGTGCATGTATTTGCGAATAGAAGAATATTACTTCCAGTACTGAAGAACTATGATATGTCAAGACGGACACGTGTGTCCAACACAATACGTGTTAGATACGTCGACTCGTAATTTTTCAAAAAAATACCGACACGACACGACACGACACGTCATCAACATGTTCATTAAATTCTTTAAAATTCGTCATTTATATAGTTAAAATTTAATTTTACACTTATTATTGATTTTTTTTTTTTGGTTGAAATCTTTTAAATATGAGTACTTATTTGTTATTTACTAATAACTTAGAGATAAAAATATAAAATAGCCATAGCAAGAAAGGAAAATGATTATTGTAAAATGTTCGAAGAGTATCGACACATGTCAGACACAGACATGCTACCCGAGTTAGAGTGTCTGTGCTACATAGTTGAAGAATCACTTTATGTTTAAAAGGAAAAAAGAAAGAAAAAAAGAAAAGAAAAGAAAAGAAAGAAGATTCACTTTATGTTTAATATACAATTAAGAATTAATCACGTTTTAGTTGAAATTCTTTTATTTCATTTCATTTTCACCACTGTTCCATTGTACAAACGTAACTTTAGGACTCGGAAGTTAATATGCGTTGATCAATTCCAACCAGTCTAATTACAAATTCTGAGAAACTAGACAATGAATGCTACCAACAGACAAACAAGTTGAGAGGAGAATCAAATGACCATTTTATCAAAAAGAAAACTTCATACTAGTTACTAATAAGATAAATCCAACAAATCCAATCAAATCAAGATCACCACTTTTAGTTTCTATCGACACTAAAATTACAAAGATAAAAAAGAATTTAAAAAGGTAAATATGTACTCAATGGGCATTAAAAAAGTAACTTACTAATGAATTCTCCAGTAGTAATAACATGACTATCAGCCAATTACAATAAAAACACGAAACAATCAGCATTATTCATTTACACTATCTAGTGCTACTTTAAAGCTAGCTTTAACTGATGACTAATTGCAAACTTTGCAAACTCATGGAAACATTAACAGTAGCAAAGACAAGGGAAAAGAATCCAATTAGGCATGAACATCAGACTCAGATATGTATTAATCAATCCAGTATCTACACCTTACTGGCAAGAAAAAATTGTGCTCCGAAAAGAATGTGCAGAGAACCACAATGGCAGGGTGGCATTGTTCTTCACTGAATACATCTCCTTCCAAACTCTGCTATTTCTCTGATACACCAACACTTGCTTGTGGGTTGCAAGGAAAACATATTCACCAGTCTTACTAATTGGAAAAATGCCAGGCACCATCCCTCTAATACATCGTAGACTCACCCTGTCCACCATATGCCATTCTTCCTTGTCATAATCTTCCATCATAAAAATATTCATCCAGACCTCTGAAATTTGAATCACAGACAATCGCCCATCCGACTCCAACAAATAAATCCGACTCCCACTCCCAGAATTCACTTCATCTGGCAATGACATTTTCCTCCAAATATCAGAATCCAAATTCAGAACAAGCACACAAGAACAGCTCGCAGTCAACCAATGCAACGCACCATTAATGAACACAACTTGATTTCTATTCATGTGTGTAAAATGATCATCTTGCAACGAAACAGATTTCCTCCATTTATTAGATTCCGAATCAAAGATCAGACATATAAAAGTCCTCTCAGGCCTATGCCCAAATGACCTATGATGTCCTGCCAACACAACATTATACTTCCCTGTCAACAAATTGCAAGCCAAACCAACAAGAGTAGCTTCACCATCGGGATGAAACCTAGTAATTGGCCTTTCCCTACTTCTCGGAAGCAACTTATACTGTCTAGTCATTGGATTACAAACATAATAAACACCTTTATCAGGAATGCTAGAACAACATAATAATCCATTACAAGAAGCCCTAACTCTGACTCTGTCCTTGATAAAATCCAACAAAAACTCAGATACACCCCTCATATTATCAACAAGAATTAAACTTGATCTTGATTCTGATAAAGATTCATTGGCCTCTACAAGCACCATAGGATTCTTGACAGAAACCTCATTGTACAGCCGCGTAAAGTATCTTTCAGAGATTAATTTGTACCACAGTTTGCACACACATTTAGTTCTGAAAAGGGATTTAACGGGCAATCTAGCGAAAATTTGAACCATAATATCATCTGGGAAAACCCCATATTTTGAATTGCAGTGATTCATTTTCTATTTTCGAGAAATGATACGAAAAATTGCAAAAAGAATCAAGTAAAGCCCAAGAAATGCTTACCCAATTACATGGCATCACGAGAAACAAGGGTATCCATGATACGTTGTACCAATTTTGTTTACAATTCTGAGAGAGAATATATTCCCCGATTGAATTACAGAGAAAAATGCGTTCAAGTTTGGGGAAAATGCTAGATTTGGATAAAGAAATAGAATAGAATATGCCGGTAGAAATGGACGGTTGAGATCGGCGATTATAGATGATGGATCTGGGCTTTGACCAAATTTTATTGGGCTAACGTGAAAATTTTAGAACGGAAATTTCATATATAAAAAATTATGTATGACTAATTTCAAAATTAATAAACAAGAACAATTAAATACGGCATCACCACCAACACTGCCATCGTCAGCACCACTACCAACTACAAACATCGTCACCATTTGCAAATCACCACGAGCTACCCCAAAAACTCCAACACCTATTACTCCAGTTTTTCCCCTCATTTTCCACCACCAGCAACTACGCTCACACCCACCACCATCGTCGCCCAAAGACTAGACAACCATCAATCATAAAACTAGATTTGGTTGACAATGGCAAAGTGACTATAAACCATCGCAACCATAGAATGACACCACCAACGCATAAAAACTAGATTTCCCAAAAATCGACGATGACCAGAGCGTAACGACGACTGCATAATCGTTGTTGCAGCAATGAGTCATGTAACAATGATTCTCGCTTGGTGCATCATTGTTGTGACTCCCAGTGGATAATGGGGAGGGGGAGAGAGAGGGGGGGGGGGGGATTGAATTTTGGCGTGGGGATGGTGGACTAAGGAGTGGATATATGAATTTTATTTTATAATATTATTAATAATATTAAATTATCATCTGGTTTTTGTATAAACAAATATTAAATTTGATTTTTGTAATGGTAACTTGATAATTTGACTATATGTAAATGTCACATTTTAGAAGTTTTTAAAGTAAGTCTGAGTCCGCCAATTTTAAAGAATATTCTCTCTCTAGAGATCAATAGCGTTTTATAACACCTGAATTTAGAATGTGACCCAAAAAAAAATAATAATAAATAAAGTAAAATAAAAAGAGTTTGTATAGTACATAGCGTTTTATAACACTTGAATTTAGAACTTGACAAAAATAAAAAAGAGATTCTATAGTAACAGTAATTAAGACGCTTGAATTTTGATAGTGAAATTAAGGTTTTCTTCGTTTTTGTTTTTGTTTTTTTTATAAGTAAAAACTTTTGATATGATCAAGTTACTATTGATGTTTGTTTATTGTAAATTCACTTTATTCGTGTGTGACGCATCTTCTATTACACGCACATCCAAATGTTCTAGGTCTATCTTCAACGAATAATTACTAAGTAGGAGCAACTAGAAAATTGTAGTTAACTATTTGCCATGTTTGGTTAGTAGTTAAAGAGATAGAAATAGAGATAGATGTGGATCCCTTCTAACTTAAAAGGCAAATTAGGGCATGATGAAATCGTCCATGTTGTACAAAGTATAACCATTACTTGTTCTATCTTCAACGAATAATTACTAAGTAGGAGCAACTAGAAAATTGTAGTTAACTATTTGCCATGTTTGGTTAGTAGTTAAAGAGATAGAAATAGAGATAGATGTGGATCCCTTCTAACTTAAAAGGCAAATTAGGGCATGATGAAATCGTCCATGTTGTACAAAGTATAACCATTACTTCAGTGAATTCTGGGAATGAAAGCAACTATTGCATTGTCGAAGAGCAAAACCTTTTTAATTCATTTGGTCATTATGAACTAGCTAGGAATTTGTAAGCGAGAGGAGGATGACCACTTTCAGAGCTTTGGGCACCTTTGTGATTTTTTCAAAACTTCCTTTTTCATTAGTTACTTTTAACCAGTTTTAAAAGTACTTTAGAAAAATTTCTATAAGAATATACCTATTTGAAGCTATTCTACAAAAAGCAAAAGATATTCCAAGTGATTGGTTATATATGATTAAGACCTTTGAACGAACATCATCATTCAAGTACCTTGTAATCTAGTTCTCATCTAATCTAGATGTAATTGAAGGCAAAAACAACTAAAGGGTCACATTCAATGCCATAAATTGACACTTACGCAAAACAAGTGCAAGCACTAGAGGTATACGTTACCCTTTTTCTATTACCAATTTGAGGTTTCACAGGATATCAATATATAAGTATGGAGACTGTTGATTAATTTATGTAAGAAAGATGATTAGATTAGTTTTGTGTAGTGTAGTAGCTAACAAAAAGGTGTTGCAGCAGAGACAAAATGGTACAACCTACAAAGGAAGGGATATGGAGGGTGTGGACCCTAATAATAAAAGGGAAGACAAGTGAAAAGGAAAATAGCAAGTCATCAAGGATTGATTAGGTAATTGATCTTACCCTCTTCATGCTTCACACAGTAATAGATAGGCAAAATCATTATCACAAAAAATGGGCAACTAGATTCAAATTGTTATAAGACTAGAAATTAGCCGTTGCTTTTGCAATATATTTTGTTTATGTGACATGAGCCAAATTCACGTAACTAACTAGAAATTAAAACACATAAATGAACTACATAATGTTTGATTGTTTCTTAGAAGACTGATAAAAAATGTCTCTATGCTCGCGTGCCCAAGAGCTCGCATATTCCCACAACCTAACTCTCTGACAATGCGAGATTTTCTATTTGAACCTAAGTAGTAAAAAAGGAATAATAATGTAATTACTCATAAAAACATAACAAGAATGCATGGAATACTTAATCAACTTTGTTTACATTATGATCAATTACGGTTACCTAGACCTAGATGTTATATATTTTTGTCTCTTCCTCTCTTTTCCCAAGTTGTCCATTAAACATTTAAGGTTCAAACAAAAGATCCCTGGTCCCAATTATAAAAATAATTCATTTTGTTCTTCTTTACTAATTCCCGTTTGAATTCATGGAAATGAAAACCACTGCATTCACAAATACCATGCATTCTTTTTCTGGCATTGGACCTGTCGCTGTCGGGTTCATGAGTACAGCCCACTGGTCATCCATAAAAAGCCCACGCTCTCCCTATTTCTCAGCGCCAGGCACTAGAGAAGATTTCTAAGCTCAAATCTCTTAAAGGTACCAAACGTTTATCATCCCTTTCTAGCAACTTTTAAGGGTATATCTCACATTTTCTTCATGCTCGATTGCAGGTTTTGAATTAGGGTGAAACCATTGAGTTACATGGATGCAAATTATCATGCAGCCACTAGAGAAGATTTCTAAGCTCAAATCTCTTAAAGGTACCAAACGTTTATCATCCCTTTCTAGCAACTTTTAAGGGTATATCTCACATTTTCTTCATGCTCGATTGCAGGTTTTGAATTAGGGTGAAACCATTGAGTTACATGGATGCAAATTATCATGCAGCTGCTTGAAAAAGCAGGAAGTCATTACCAGAAAGAGTGGTTTTTTATATGGTTTGGTGACTTCTGCATCTTAATTGGGTGCTATCCTACTGAGCTTTTCTACTCCTTTCTTTCTTTCTTTGTCTGACTTGTGTGTTCTTGACCTTGTAAGACCTTTTCTTGACCTTGTAAGACCTCATGCCGTGTCTTTTCTTTTTATTTTGTGTCGTTTTTCAATTTTTACAGCAGAATTTTCTGATGTAGGATTGGTTGTTCTCCTTCTCCGTTTCCACCCAACTCACTTTCTCCTTTCTTGTCTATCCCTCCTGAGCTATTTCGTATAAAGTATTCATAAGCTAATGCTATGTAGTATATATTCTTCTGGTATGGCCAACCGTGTTAGACAGGCAGAAAGCCTGATATATATAGAAATGTATTGAATTTTGAGGCCCAAGTTTCATTGTTTTTATTTTATGTATGTTTTTGGTCAGAGAATTAAGTTGCAAGAAAATAAATATCATTCCTGCACATCTGTTAAAATGGAGTTTTTTTTTCTCGTGACTGCTGGCTCTAATGTACAAAATAAAAATATAAATAGACTGCACTCTCTTGTCTAATTCCAATAGCGAGTGACGTATCAGCTTTTCTAGTACTCACAAACCTTTTTATTCAAAAAGACACGGGGACTGGATGTCGTATGTGAGTGTGCGTTTGTTGCTTGCACCTGTTTGCTTCTATTACCAAGTTATTTCTGATCATCTTTCAGTAAACTGTAATTACTTTGTATAACTGATACAGAGACGTTTTCTAGATGCTAATAGTCCAAAGTTGGAAATTTGAGGTGCTCGGCTAAGTGTCCAGATCTTCACTCAAGTTGACAGTAGTCGTTCCACCATGTGCGAATAATTCAAGTAGCGCGTTATGAAATTTCCATCTTTAGGTGACATAGTAACATGGCCTTTTCATTAGGACATTTGCACAATCTATCCTCTCAAGACTTATTGCATTTTCACAAAACAAATGGTCAAATGGGCTCCTTCTCAATAATCAATAATGCCTCGACGAATATATAACTTTTACTGGAATCTAAGCTGGCTCAAACTATTGTAAATCTTAAAGTCTGTTGGGTTCCCAATTATATAGGAGTTTCTGCCGGATGACAAATTCTACAGTAGGTGCCTCTAACTGAATTTCGGCTGCTAAGTATGAACTTTTTACTACAGGCAGATTTAGGTCAAAGAGACTAAAGAACCAATTTATCGAGAAACATATTCTTGATCCAGATTTCAGTTCAGCAATGCATTAACTGATAGCACGTGCTAATTTGTTGGTCAACAAAAAGACCACACACAGTTCTCAAGTAGCTCATAATCCTCGTTCCAGAGCAATGCGATGTTAAGACTTGAGGTTTCATTTTAAAAGGTAAACTTTGTTAAGAGGAATAGTCCAAACCCTTATAAATTGGTCTATGTTTTTATCTTTATTCAATGTAGGATTATATTCATTAACATGCTCCAACAAGATAATAACTCTTTTAAGCAGACCAATCTTGAAATCCGTATGTTCAATTTTAAGTCTTAATCGGATCGGATCGTTCGTTAGAGCTTAATGAGCTTTAATATCATGTTAAAATTTCGGATTACATCTTAAAATGTCAATCTTGCTAAGAGGAGTAACACAAACCCTTATAAATTAATTTATATTTTCATTTTTATTTGATGTGAGATTGTTAAGAGGAATAGTCCAAACCCTTATAAATTGGTCTATGTTTTTATCTTTATTCAATGTAGGATTATAT